TACGTTTATTCACTTTTACGGTTTATTATTATTATTATTATTATTATTATTTTCTCTCTTTATCGCATGACTTTGACGGTTTTTTTTTTTGACTTCCTTTTTAGTATTTTTCACCCTTCCCCCAGAGCCCCCCAATTTTCGTCTCGCGAGCTTGTCGATTTCGATCACTGTTTTTACGTTCTTACGATTATTATTATTATTTTTTTACATGTTCCAGATCGTTCGACTCTTCTTATTTCGTTCTTGTTTCACGAATACTCAGATCGAAGCGACGACCGAAGGGAAAAAGAATTCGATTTCGTTGCCTCTCGAGAACGCACCCTTCACTCCCATCCACACCCCTCAACCCTTCGATTGAACTTTCGAATTTTATTATTTTTTTTGTTAACTGACTGTAGCTGCGATTTTAAGAATTATTATTAATATATTGTACTATTATATAATTATTACCATTATTATTATTATTATTATTAATATTATTTGGTAGTTTCTTAATGTTAGATTCTCGGTAAGAGAAACCAGCGATTAATTTAAGGATAGTGTCGAGCTAAGACTTTGCATTTGTTTCTTTCTTTTTTTTTTGTTTTCTCTAATCATTATTTTTCTTCGATTTGTTTTTTTTTTTTTTTAAAAGACAACGCGTAAGGGCAGATCTCGAGACAATATAATTCCCGTCGAAGACTGATCGTTTTCGAAAGTCATTCGATGATTGTTGTTTTGGTAGAGTTTGTGTGCCAAACAGGCCGGTTCTTTGTCCCCCTCCCCTCCCCTCCTCCTCTCGACCACACGTTTCATTGGAGCTACGAAGGGTCCATTTTCCTTCATTTCCCCCCCCCCCCTTGTTCCCAATTATCGGCCACGGTCGAGAGAGGACGCGACGCGATTTTTATAGGTTAGTGACCTCGTGACCGTCGAGGAGAGCGTACGTGCGTCGGTCCTCGAGTTCTTTTTTCCTTCGTTCAGTCGACGCGTCGTGGTGTTCAAGATCCTTTTAGTGCCAAAAAAAAAAAAAAAAAAAAAAAAATATATGACCGAAACGGAACGAAGAGGGAGACGAGGCTCGCTCGGCGACACCAATTTTTACCGTTTTATTTCTCGTTGATTATTTATTTGTAGCTAACGATTCCCTCGGTTCAGTTCAGTTGGTTCCGTTCACGACTGGCCGTCGACGGTCCCTATCCCTCGTTATAAGGGACTCGACGAAACTAGGCAGATTAGGACGGAGGGTATGTAAAAGATGGGGAAAAAAATATATATATACTTATATATATATGTATACACACACACATACACTATAAAATGGTAAAAAAAAAAAAAAGATAAAGAATATTAAACGATTATTAAAAAATCCTTGCTTAGTCAGTTAAAGTACAAATGTTTAAATGTATTCTATGATTCTAGGTGATAAGAGAGAGCGAGAGTGGGAGAGATTGAGAGAGAGAGAGAGTGATGTGGGAGACGCATAGAAGCGTATAAAACTTTGTTTCATTCCTTAAGAAGCCTCTGATAGCTTTATTTATATTCGCATTAGTTACTTGACGTTTAATAAATACTTAAAAAAAAAAAAAAAAAAAAAAAAAAAAAAAAAGGAAAAAAAAGG